AAGGCAAAAAAAAAGGATTGATGGTGTTAAAAATGACTTAATAAAATTAAACGACAACAATTGAAAAACAGCAGCAAAAAATAGAGATTATTTAAGGCAGATTATCTGATTTACAATTCTTAATGGACTACTAAAGACTATTAGGAAGAAAGAACTTTTTAAAGGACTATTTATGAACTTAATGGAATATTAGGCCCATGTTATTTAGAGTGTCACGGGCACGTCAAAATCAAACTTATTGTTGATTTCAATGCAAATTAAAAAACTAGGAGTGAGTGAAAAAAACAAATGTCGATTTAAATTCGGTCATGAGAGCCGAGGCTATATCTACCTCGTCACTCAGTTAAAGCCGTCTTGTATGTATGTATATATATTTTCTTTAAAATGTAAACGCAAGCAAAAAGTAAAAAAGTAATAGAAAATTATTAAATTGACAAACTGATTTGACACTCAGTATAACATGCATTTTCGTCATAGCTCAGCAGAGCTAATTAGACGCGACACTCTACATAACATGGACCTTAGAAGAGGAAGAAATGCTTTAGAATTTGTATATAGAAAAATATTGCAAAGAAATAAAATTTTGCAGCAATATATATAATAATTAAATATACAAACCAAATGAATTTCAGACAAATAATATAACATAATTTAATTATTTTATAGATTTTAGTAAATTAAAATAAAGTATTGAAATAAAGTGTGAGGAATTGTTATAACATTATTTAAATATTAGTGAAAGTTTTTACATAAATTATAAAACAACAATTTAGCTATTAAAGGTACATTAAATCATATATGTTTATACTCGTTAATGTATGTATGTATATTTTAGATATAATAAATTTTTTATGTGCTGTGTTAACCTTTTAAAACCTATAAATTTTTATAGTTCTCTTTACTTGTATATTTTTTAAATTATGTAATTAAGTTGAATATATTTAATAAACATTACAGCAAATAACATTATGATTTCAATATGTTATATAAAAAAAAACAGTGAAAATGAAACCTTCATCGAGTTAAGAAAATAATTAGATATAAAAACTAAATAAAAAATATTATAATAAGGCAGCTGTATGGTTGACTATAAAAATAATTTTTAAAATGTTTTTTAAAATATGTTTTTTTTTACAATTAAATAATAATGGAATTTCAAAGCAACAAGTCGGAAAAATATACAACTTTTTCTTGATTAGCTGCAATATTTTGCATGTATAAAATTAAAACAAAAAAAAAAACACATGCATATGGGCTATATGAAGTGCTTTATTACTTGCTTAAGAATCTGGTTAGTACTGTGTGTATTAAACGTGAGTAAGTAAGTATTCAGAAACTAATTATTGATAAGTAAAAATATTGTTTTCAATTCTTTGCCGAATGCTTATTCAGCTGTTCATTAGCTGATGCTTGCAGTAATTAAAGTTGAAATTAATTGTTATATATTTAAATTTTCTTAATTACTTCTAAACAAATACTCATTAATTTTATTTCTTAATAAATTTAATAAATCAAACAATTTTGTAAAAGGTAAAGGTGTTAATAAAAGAAATGTGTTTCAAGAAATATTCATACATACTCATATCAATAAACTCAATAGGAAAGCATATTGTTACTTTTCAAATTTTTCGATAGATAAGAAAAAACTATAGTCTGCTCGTTTATTAGGTCACAGCTGTTTCAATTAGTTTCATCCGAAACATACTTTTCTTCATTGAATTAAAATTTTAACATCAAATTCAAATGAATTGCTTTGCAGCAATTGTATAAATATTTTAATCTGAATGAATTATTGTCGTACAAATTTTATTTTGATAAGAAAATTTTAAATTACTTATTAGCTTACCGTTTTTTGTCTTTTTTTACTGGTTTCACCCTCCCCACTCATAGTTTGCACTGAAACTCAACTACCGTAATAAACACAAAAACACTCGATATAATACTGAGTACAATAAAGGCAATTAAAAGTTTGCAAAATATTTTTATTCATAAAGACACTTTGTCAAATCACGCCGTTCAATCAGTTTTGATTTTATTAAGCGAACACTGGAAAATGCGGTTCGCAAACAATTGTTTATATTATACCGACTTTCAAGGCATGAGCATAGAAATACATTCTTAATCTCAATGAACATAGTAACTAGTGGTGCTTAAAAAGTTTATCGATAAATACAACTGACCATACTTCAGACAAAATGGGTTGCCAACACTCATATTTAATATTTAACTTATTCAGCAAAATTCCGTTATAACGTATTCAGCCGTGTGCGGATTTGATTAATTTGCGGTAAAATAAATTGAAATTTCCTAGGGATTTTTTGCACTGCATTTATGTAAATATTTATTTATTTATTTATTGCACTTGTTTATTATTTTTGGTTAAAAGTTTTTAACTTTATATATATAGGCCGAGTTCAAGTATATTGAAGTGGAGTAAATTGAAATTTCCTAGGGATTTTTTGCACTACATTTATGTAAATATTTATTTATTTATTTATTGCACTTTTTTATTATGTTTGGTTAAAAGTTTTTAACTTTATATATATAGGCCGAGTTCAAGTATATTGAAGTGGAGTAAATTGAAATTTCCTAGGGATTTTTTGCATTACATTTATGTAAATATTTATTTATATATTTATTGTACTTATTTATTGTTTTAAGTTAAAAGTTTTCAAATTTATTTATTAATTTATTAAACATCTTGATTAGAAACTTCAACTAAAAACACGTCTTTTCGGTTTTAGAATAAATATAAGACTCCCTTTATTTTCTATAATGTTTGCTCTTAAATACTAAATTTTACATAGTCTAATAATTAGGTTTAATTAGGTTTTTCTTTTAGGTACAAGGTTAAAGGAAATGTCCCTTAACCTTTTTCTTTGTTACCTTATTTAATTACTTCCTTTTTCTTTAGTTACATTTTACATTTTTAACTAATCTCTGTTATTACATTTCATATTTTAATGTCTAAAAGAACCTTGGTAACAAATATTTTAAGGCTTTGAAAAACCTTTGTTAGAAATTAATTTAATTTACTAAAAATATAAAATAAAATACTAAAATATTAAATAAAATGCTAAAATATTTAATACCCAAATAACTGAATATGTTACTTAGGTAATTAGCGCGCAGACACATGTTCAAAATTTGAACACATCTTATAAAATTTTTGCAATGGTAACACCTAATTTACCTTATTTTTATCTAATTTACCCTACTCGAAATTCTGGTAAATATCAACATTCGCTACCATATCGACATAATTTACTATTTTCCTCAATTTACCATCAATTTACTTCAACTCGCATACGACCTTAATGGTTTTGTCATAATTGTGAGACAATACTATGTTCAGCTATAAGGAAAATGGCCTTAATTTCGTTGAAACGAAGGCTAAAATTAAGCGACTATTCAACTGCAATTATGCGTAAGATAAATTTAAAGCAAAAGATAAAGTTGAGATAATGAAAAAGTGATATTTTCTTTTAAATGACTGTCAGTGACAGTTAAGTTTAATAAAACTGGGAAAATATTTTGAAAGTAGTGCAAATTTTTTAATTTGAATATAGAGAAAAAACTGTAACAAAATCAGAACAAAGAAGAACAAAATCATAAAATATTTTATATATCTGGTGACTTTTAAACGACACCTGTAAAAGTTTCAACTTCATCAGATATTTGGTAAGCTTTTTGCAAATAATTGAAATAGTGCACCTTGGTGATTTTTTAAAAAATGGAAAAAATTGAATATCGTTTAGTAACAAAGTTCCTACATTTAAAAGGAGTGAACAATGATGCAATTAAATGGGAAATAGATTCGGTTTAAAGCAACCTTGCACAATCGTTAATAGCAATAAAATATTGGAAAACTGAAATTTAAACGTATGAATGTTTTTTTATGAAGAGCGTCCGATACACCATCTAGAAATAACAAAAAAACCCACGATATTGTTTTGGATGATCTAAAAATTAAATTGCCTGAAAGTGCATGAACGAACATTCGCAGGTAATCGTACCTGCAAAAGTTCGTTCATTCGCAAGCGTTTGTTTTGCTGTGGCTGCACCTCATATAAACGTGTATCGAATATTATACATTAATATTTGTGTATAAAAAAGCTTTCTGCAAGATGGGTGCTGCGTTTTCTCACATTTGATCAAAAACGACAACGACTTTGTCATTTAAAACTTTGTTTGGAAATGTTTATACACAATCTAGCTGACTGTGAGCGTAGAGTAGTGACAACTGATAGCATGTTTCATCAATCCATTACTTCACATCTGCGTAAAAACAAATGGAATAATATTCATAGACTATATGTAAAAAGGAAAAACAATAACAACTGAATACTATTGCATATTATTCGATCGATTGAATAAGAAAATCAAGAAAAAACGACCACATTTGCAAAATTGCAAAATTAAACGAATTACGGTACGAAACCTTCATCACCCACCATATTCTTTAGATTTAACTCTCGGGAACTATTACCTGTTTCCAAACTTGAGAAACAGGTACTCCAGAGAAAGAGATTTACATCAAATGATGAAGTGGAATGGAAAAATGAGGTAAATTAAATTATATTATTTAGAAAGTGTGCAAATGTTGAAAGATCGTTGGACTCGATATGTCAAGCTGAAAGAGCACTATATCGAAGCATGAAATATAATTTTCCAAAAAAAATGTGTTTTTATTACTTACGCCGGGTATTTATCAATTCACCTAGTATATCCTACTGACCAACTGATTCCAGTTTTTTATAGTTTATTTATAGTCAGTAAATATTATAAGCAAGTATAATAGTGCGTTTGCTGGTGCAACGCACTTGTGTATACACATTGTTAATCAAAGTTACGAGTAGCTCGTGAAAAAGACCTAATAAAATTGTATATATATACTAATATGATTTAAAATTGAAAATATTTTTAAGATTTTTCGCAATTCTATAAAAATGTGCGCAAAACGTGCATACGAAAAAAGCAATTGCTAAATAATAAAGTGGCAATCTGGCATCTCTAAAAAAATGACAACAGCAAAAAAGTTGTCGCGGCGATAGTGATGTTGATGAGATTAAATATCAAGTAATATCGCAGTAAATAAATAAATAAGATTATGTGCTTTTGTAAACAAAAATAAATAAATCGATCTTTATTCGAAGACAAAATTAATTAGCTATTTTTTGTGGAATCCAAAATTTTGTTAGAAAATGTTTCAAAGAAATAATTACAATAATATTTATTGTTAATTATTTCAATTATTGTTAATTTTGAAATCACTTAATACACTACGGAGGAACAAGTATTCAATGAAATGTTGTCCGTTTTGCAAGAGAAAAGGCCATTAAAAAAGGCACGTTTAGGACCACCAGACGTTTATCCACAAGATGCAAAACAAAGAGAAGATGAGCTTACACCCGCAAATGTAAAACATGGGTTTTCGACTACATCACCACTTTCGGATGAATTTGGTACAGCGCATAATTCCAATGTCAATGCAAACAAAATGGGTGCATTTTTTAGTGCAATACTCGTCAAGAAAGAAGAACTCATGACGTTGCAAGATACAGGGAAAAAGAAACAACAACTCAATTGCAAAGATCATTTTTGGCCAGTGTCGCCTCGCAATAAAGTTGCTATGGATGCTTGGTTCAAGGATTTAGCTGGAAATAAACCACTGTTAAGTTTAGCAAAAAAAGTTCCATCTTTTAATAAGAAGGAGGATATTTTCATTACACTTTGTGACAACCAAGTCAATATGCAGCGTGCAACCTGGTTTATAAAATTAAGTGCTGTTTATGCTACATGCCTTACGGAATCGAAAAATAAAAAGCGCACTATATATGATCCAGTAAGTGACTGCACTAGTTATTTTATAAAATTTATGAAGGAATTATTACCGAAATTACAAGAGTACTATCAACAAAGTGAGTTAAATTTATTTAAATATTTGAAATAAAAATAAAGTTTTTATTTTACAGGTATAAGCGACAAAGCGTCTCATTGCAATAGCACGGGTCTAGCAACACAAAATTCAAGCACACATTCGAATAGTACTATACCAGTTCCTTCTATGGCCAGTCCAGTTTCTATGCATAGTCCAGCAAGTAGTCAGCAAAATTCTAACAACCATGGTGTACTAAGTGGGGGAACACCTGTGAACGCTTCAAGCACTCAAGGATCTGTTAATCTTGGCTTAACAGGCTCTTCAATTTCAGGAATAGGCAGTAATTTTGAAGATTGTCGAAATGCTTTAAAATACTGGAATTATTGCACTCAGCTCAGTAAATACATGCATGAAGAATCACTGTTGGATAGACAGGAATTTCTTTATTGGATACTTGAATTATTAGATAAAATGCGTACGCAAGCTTCATTTAACGAAGCATTGAAAAAGTTGGTACTTACTTTTGCTTTGCAATACATGCATGATTTTGTTCAGTCTGAGCGGCTTTGTCGTAAGCTAGCCTATATTGTTGCTAAAAAGCTTTCTAATCTGTTAAACGCAACTGTGGAACAGCAAAATAACAGTAAATCATTACAATCAAATTGTGTAGTAAACATGGAGGTGGATGACGATGAAAAAAAACGGAATACGATAGATCCCTATGAAACTGCGTTAAATGATTATATGAACTGCCCGCATCACCGTGATATAATCTTATATCTGAGTACAATATTACAGATTATCACAATTGAATGTCCAACAGCTATGGTTTGGTGTGGTATCGGGGACAATCGTGCACCATCAGCTTTGTGTGGTAGTCCTTTGGATAATTTACCCTTAGCTCCATCAGTTCTTCCTATGCCGTCTAAATGTGAATTGACTACAAACATTGAAATACGGCGACAACTACGTGCAGTAGAATCCGAAATTAGAGAACGTTCTAAACATGCTGAAAATCGTTGGTTTGCCGAGAAATGGTTAAAATCTAGTAATAATCCGTGCAACCATGTACTTTCAATTCTAGATCATTTAGATACCCATTGTTTTGAACGGATGGATCAAAGTAATTCAATTGAATCTCTTTATGCAAATATTTTTAAACCTTTTGTGACTGTGAAACGTGAAGTTGGTTCAAATGGAGAGGTAAAAGAAATACGTCAAGAATACGATGCTAAGGAAGATGCTAAAACAGTTAAAATACTCTGTGAATGGGCAGTATCTAATCAGAGGTAAAAAAGAATTTACAAACAATAATTCAAATTAAAGTTTATTTCTTTTGTAATGTGTTACAGATGGGGTGAACATCGGGCAATTGTAGTAGCAATATTGTTGGATAAAAGACAAATAGATGTCACTACACCTAATATTGAAAATGAACAATTTAATAATAATGGAAATATAAGTAATACAAATGAAGATAAAGATTCTGTTGCTTCGGGAGTTGGTTTAATAGGTGGATTACCCGTTTTTCAGTCAGTATTAATGGATTTTTTGGATCAAGACGCCCCAGTATTAGATGAAAATGGTTCCCTGCAAAATCGTACACAGTTCACCAATCTTGTTCATTTATTTAGCGCTTTGATACGCCATGATGTCTTTTCCCACAATGCTTATATGTACACACTAATCTCACGTGGAGACTTATTAACTGATGGTACTTCAAGTACAACAGCAAAGCCAATAAGCGGCACAAGTGGCACTGGTCCAGTATCAAATAAACCATCACCGCCGACTCACAATTTTGATGATGATTTCATGACTGGAATTGAGTATGATGATTCTAATGTGGACGATGATCTTGGAAAACTAGTGCAAACCATTAAAGAAAAAATTCCTGATCATACAAGTGCTGGTGGCAGTGAGCCTCCAATATCACGTCATTTTGTGTACACGAAACATTTTCCTATACCTCAAGATGATCCAACATCTCCGTACAGTAGTGAATCAAACCAGAGATATATACTGCTTTTTGGAGTTGGCAAAGAACGTGATGAGAAGAAACATGCTGTTAAGAAAATGTCTAAGGAAATTTGTAAGCTTTTCTCAAAAAAATTTAGTATTGATGTGGCAGAAGGAGGGAAAGTAAAGAAACATTCACGAAATGAGTTTAATTTTGAAGCTACAACTAGTAAATGTCAAAACATGGCATACTTTGATCAGCATGTAGTAACGTCGCAATGTGCTGCAACAGTACTTGAACAACTTAACAGTTTTGCACTTGGAAACAACAATTACTTGCCAGTTCAAGAGCACGTGGCTTTTTTATTTGATTTAATGGAAATGGCTCTTAACATTTATAGCTTGATAGAGCTTTGTGACCAGATTTTAAAAGAATTACCAGAAGTAGAAAATCAGTTGGTTGTCAAAAAGTCTAATTTAATTAGAAGTTACACAACATTATTGGGTTTATATATTGTAGGCATACTTCGGCGATATCATAGTTGCTTGCTATTATCTATAGAACAAACTGTTTCAATCTTTGAGGGACTATGCAAAATTATCAAACATGTTGGCAGTCCTAGTGAATGTAGCTCTGCCGAGCGTTGCATTCTTGCATATCTAAGTGACCTGCATGATTCATGTGTTATATTAAAGAGCAAAGAGCAGCAACCAGAATATTTTCAGCAGTTAAACGTTATTAAAAAGTTTAAAGAAATATTTGTTGCTCCAGAACAAATTAAGTAAGTCTATTTATAATATAAATGAGCTTAATTAACATTACTTATTTTAGCATTGTTCCACCAACATATAATCCACAATTCCTTCAAGAACTTTTTTCTTCTCCGAAACGTGGAGGTAAAATAGATCAATTATGGGTGCGACAACTCCATGAATCCCCAACAAACGTGTATAGTTTTGTTTCGAATGCATTTATTGCAGTATGCCGTGAATCAGACAATGATCGTTTAAATGATATAGCAATTTCATGTTCAGAACTGACTGCTAGTTGTAATGCATTATCTACGGAATGGATAGCAGCATTGCAGTGCATATGTAATTCAACAAAGAAACCACGCTATCCACATTTATTTGGGCAAATTGACATACACAACACCAGAATACATAATTCGTTGGCAGTATTTATGTGCATCTTAGTCGCGCGTCATTGTTTTCCACTGTCGGATTTCGTTGTCAAATTCGCTCTGCCGACTCTTGTTACAGCATGTGCAGAGACCACTGGAGATGCCGAAGCTGGAGCTCGTTTGACTTGCCATTTATTATTAAAGCTGTTTAAAACTATCGAAATACCACAACCTGGTTTATACTCTGTTAGTACATCACCAAATCCAATAAATGTAGTCAGCAATACAACTAACATAAAGTTAAGTTGTGATCGGCATTTGCTTGTTGGTGCACATAAAAATATTCCAGTGGAGGCAGTCTTAGCTGTGTTAAAAGCAATATTATATGTTGTTGACACAGCAGCTCTTAAGACCCCTACTTCAGTTACTGGTGCCGTTGCTTATTGCAGTGGCAAACGTAGTGGTTTCAATACTCCTGTCCATCCGGGAAGTACACCGAAGAGTAATGAACGACCCGTTGATTTAAGTCAAATATTAGGCACGAGTGATCTTAATAGTTTGGGTAATGATGATCAAGAAATGGCACAACAAAATTCATTATCAGCTAATTCTAATCAGGGGGAACAAATATCTTTGCTAGAGTTTGCACATCATGTACTTAAGCAAATCTGTGCTCAGGAACACGTTTTGGAAAGATGTTTAAAGCATGCTGAAAAATTGTGTGATTTCATTATTGATGATATGCTTACAACGAAGCAGGTACAACGTGTTTTACATATGATCTGCTATCCTGAAGCAGAATATAATATTATATCAGAAATGGATCAACGTTCTATGATTGTGCGCATACTTGAAAATCTTGGACAATGGACATTACGTATATCTTGGCTCGATTTACAGCTTATGTATCGACAACTGATGAATAATCCAGCAGAACTTAATATGTGGCTGGATACTGTGGCACGTGCTGCTATAGATGTTTTTCAGATGGAAGAAATAAATTTACCTAATAGTAATAGAAGCGAATATAGGGCAAAGCCGTCAACATGGCTGGTGGCACCACTTATATCAAAACTAACACCTGCTGTGCAGGGACGCATATTACGTGTGGCCGGTCAAGTGCTTGAAAGTATGAATTACTTTTCTAAAGTATCAAAAATGGATAGCAACAGTTCAGGTAGCGGTGATGAAAGGGAAAAAAGTAATAGTTGCGGTAGCATAATTAGTAGTTATAGTGGTTCTAATAGTGGTTCACGTGGACGAAAACCACCACTTAACTATCAACCATTCTTGGAGCTTATTTTAACGTGCCTCAAAGGCCAAGACGAATTTAAGGAAGGATTATTGGCTTCATTGTATTCTCAATTATCTCAATGTTTGCAATCATTTTCAATGGTATTAAAAAATTAATAATTGAAAAATTTCGTTATATAAAATATTAATTTATTTCAGTTGGATACAATTGGAGGTGTTGATAATCCGCAAGCTCGTGAAGAAATTTTAGATGCTTTACAACTGCGTTTCTCACTTCTTGGTGGTATGTTTGACTCGATACAAAAAAATGGTACTTCTACAACGGATTGGGCAATGTTATTAGCACAATTGGTTTGCCAAGGAGTAATCGATTTGAGTTCGAATAGGTGCATATGCTTAACTAAAATGATTTATATTTAATTAAAATTTTGTACCATATAGGGAATTATTCACTACTGTTGTGGATATGTTAGCGACACTTGTTCATTCAACGTTGGTATCAGATACTCAATCGGATAGAGATGAAAATAAAAAATCGTATCTTAATTTAATGAAAAAATTAAAAAAAGAAATAGGCGAACAAACGAATTCTTCTATAAAAGTAATAAGACAATTGCTTCCACTATACAAACAAACAACGGAGGTATATTATCAAAATTTTAAATTTATTTATATATAGTTATAAAATTTATTCTAGGTTATTTCATGTGAACCAGCTGGGGTTGATACAAAAGGTAATAAAATTTGCGATATGGATAAAAAGCAATTACGCATATCAGATAAACAACGGATAAGTGTATGGGATATATTAGAGGGACAAAAAAATCCTGCACCACTTTCTTGGGTATGGTTTGGAGCAGTAAAATTAGAACGCAAACCATTAGCTTATGAAGAGGCGCATCGAAATCTAAAATATCACACACACAGCCTTGTTAAGCCTAGTAGTTACTTTTATGAACCCTTACCACTGCCACCTGAAGATATTGAACCTGTTCCAGAAAAGATTTGTATTGTACGTGTTCAACTTGCAGTAGATTATGATATAATACTAATATTGACATTTGTGTTTTTAGAAGGACGAAATGAAAGCTGACACACCTTCTTCAGTTGACCAATCTCCAAGTGCAGTTGTGTCTGGTCGGGGTAGGGGTAAAGGTACAACACGTAAACGTAAAACTAAAAATCCAAAAACTCCTCCAGTAAATACTCAAGTACAACCGCAAATGACTGCTCAGCAGCAGCAGCAACAACAACAGCAAACATCTAGTGCAACACAACAACAAACAACACAGCAATTAAATCCAAATCAAATGGGTCAAATGCAAATGAATATGCAGGTAAGTACCCATATTATTTTGGTTATATTTTTTATATCATATAATAACAACAAAGTTGGCTAAATAATTTCAATTTTAAATAACAAAAAATTATAATTTCGATATATAAAATTATAGATTATATTCTTCATAAAGTTATATTAAACCAAAATTTTTCGTTTAAAAAACATAGGTAAATATGCAGCAGTTCGCACCAAATCCAATGATGCAACAGAACTCTGGACAGATAATGCAATCACAGCAGATGCAAAATGTACCAAGTAATTTACAACAACAACTTAATAGTGGGAATGCTCAACAACAAAATACGCAATTAGGTTTTATGGCAGCTGGACCTCAAAACATGCCTCAAACAGGTCACACCCAGCAACCACAATGGAATAATCAGAATCAATATCATTCCATGCAACAACAACAGCAACAGCAACAATTTTATCAACAGCAAGGAATACAAAGTATGTAATTATCAGTTTAGAGTTTTTTTACAAATATTTTAACATTTTTATTTAGTGAACCGCTTTGAACGTCCTCAGCTGAATGACCCTAAATTAGCCCTGTCTAATATGTTACGAGCACGCCAACCCAATTATAATCAAAATAATAATACTACATTCAATGCTATGCAACAACAGCAACGTCAAGGTCAGGGTATGCAACCACAGCAACAAGCCGGATTAAATAATGTACAACAGCAGCAACAACAACAATTGCAACAGCAACAATTTGTACGTGGCGCTATACGCGGAGCCATTCGGGGTATTGCACCAAATCAAATGGGTGGTACTGCTCCTAACCAAATTGCACCAAACATGAATGCTGTTAATATAGGGCAAAATATAACTCCAAACCCTTTGATGCAACAGCAACAACAAATGGCGCAAAATAATCCCCAGGCTATGGCAATGGCACAAAATACAGGAATGATAGGTTCTGTTTCTAATAATAATTCAAATTTAATGAGTGGCCAATCTAGCAATAACTTAGTTAACGCTGGTAATATAATGCAGCAAAATGTAGGAGGAGTTAGTAATAATGCTGTTAACCAGAACATGATAAATCAAGGACCCGGCCAGTTTCAAAATTTTAATCAATATCAACAGGGCATAAATGCAACGGGTCCAAATCAGCAAAATAATATTATGGGTGGCTTCAATCAAATGAATCAGCGGAACAATCCTAATGATTTCATGACACAACAGCAGCAACGTGGTCCTGCTGGCATTGTTAACAATCGTGGCCAGTATATGAATCAAGCACCAAATGTTACAATGAACACCATGGTGGGTCAAGGTACAGTACCTCCATATTCGCGTCAGCAAAATAGTGGCGGTAAACCTGGAGTTGTATCGTCACAGCACCAATTTCAACAGCAACAACAACAACGTCTTCATCAAATAATGCAACTGCAAGGTTTGTTAAAATAGATATAGTATAAAGGCAAACTCTATATGTAATCAACTTTTTAGGCATGAACCAACAAAATAATAGTGGAAGTGTTATTGGGCAACAACAAACTCAAAGTATGGGACAGCAACAAACTCCAAACTTGGTTGCACAATTACAGAGACAAATGCCTAATCAACAAAATATGATGGGACAGCAATTCCAACATCAGCCTCCACCATATTAAAAGTTATTTTTTGAAATTGTTGCATAAAATTCAAAACTGTTTGGAATATTCTTAGTATTAGATAATTTTGCACTTATACTTATATCAAAAATATTGAAATTGTAATATAATTATATTTTAGAGACTAAATTATAAATATATGTTTATCTTAACTACACAAAAATATTTTTACTAAAGAAAGTTTAATTAAATAAATAGAAACCGCGAGCCACTCGAATTTGAACATTTAATTTAAACACTATATTAAAATTTTTCTCTAAGAATCACATTTGAGCGTTCCAAAACATTACTATTGAAATCTAATCAAAATTAAACAATGATTATCAGTTAATAAAAAAAGCTTGGGAATGAAATTAAGATCAATAAACTAATGGTATAGAAGAGGAGATCCTTTAAAAATAAATGGCTTAGTGTTACTAAAATATCGAAGCTTCTGTAAAAGATTGCATATAATATATTTTACATTTAGCTCAATTATTTTTACAAAAACATGTAAAAATCTAAACATTTGTTGCTTCAAAACCTATACCTGTTTTTTAATGCAAGATTAGATACTAAATTGTTGAAGGATAACTCCAAAAAATGGAAAAATTTTAAAAATTATTTAGCTATAATTGGTTCAAATGTTATAGTATTTAAAGTTATTTTTTTTTGGAAAATATTCGATCATTTTTGTGATTGTGATTCTTGTGATTTGTGATTGTGATTATGTGATACCAATATCTTATCCATGGATCAATTTACCTATTTTTTCAACGAAATGAACAAATAAAAAAAAATGCTTTTTTTAAAAAAAAAACAATAGGTAATTTTCTTATACGTTCTGTTTTGTATGTAGATATTTCTCTTCTATTGGCCCTATTCAGATTATCTATTTAACGGTTGAATATCATTTAAGTTACGTTTATACTATAGTGGAACATAAAGCTTAAAATCTGTTTTGTTTTTATTAACGTATAAAACTGTTCTGTGTAGTAGCACATAGATAGATTTTAAGCTTCAAGTTGCCATTAATTTTAAGGTAATTCATCATTCATCGTTGTAAAATAACAAAAAAAAAAGTTTCAGATATAATCTGAAACTTCTTCTGAAGTAAATTTCAGGCTTTCGCGCAACAATTCCTTGCCAAATGCCGAAAGAATTTGAGATACATGTCGTTTCAATTCCTCGATTTCTATTTAGACAATATTGTATATTCTTTTCCTAAAACATTGTTCTCTAATTATTATTAGAATATCCCCTAGACTGCGTTTTTTTTATCTATAAAGTCATTAAGTACCCTGCATTAACAATATTCTTCTTCATAATAATTTGTACTACAAAATCAGTTTAGATATATTTATTATATAAATGTGAAATTTTTGGATTTTTTTTATATCTTTTACTGAAGTAGGGTATATACATTTCTGTTTTTAGAATTACATAAAGGTAAAAATTTATCCAGTGTACATTTTTTCAAAGGTGATTTTAGTTGATTTAAGTCTTATTTTGAAGCTATCAGTATTTTTCACCTACCGAAACAAAAACAAAATATCAATATGCAGTGGAAATTATTCTAACGGACTCTTCCTAAATGAATACATTTTTTCTTATGTCTAGATTCTTCTCTTGATCGAACAAAAGTTGGCAAGGATATTAAATTTGTCTTCTTAAAAAAGTTTTCCCTGTATATACTTATATACAATATATTTTTTACGTTTTTAGCGTAAATAATTCGAATTTTAAAAAAAAATTTGAATTAGTTTTAACTTTTTAATATCTTTCTTGAATAACCCGCCTTGAGGATAAAACGTTTGTGATAAAAATTTGATTAAGAACCAGGGACTGAAAATAACAGTTATTTCAAAAATTTTAAGAGAAAAAAGTACAATCATGTATACTTACAGTGTACTTTTGAGCACTTTTACTCTCTACTAACAGTGAGGTTCTTCTAACAATTGTTTTCAAAAATAAAAGTTATTCCTTTTATTTTGTATTATCTTTTTATATTTTTAAGGCAAAAACAACAGTATTTGTGCGTTTCAAAATAAAAATAGAGTGTTTGAGTTATTTTTGCTTGGAAAAATAAAAGGCACATGATAATAATAATTTTTGAAAAATATAATATAAAGCAAATTAAATTATTATTTTTTTAAAAAGTTATAATCATATTTATTTTTTCTATATTTATTTCTCTAATGGTTTTTATATTAGAAGAAAATATCCATATAAGCTATTACGTTTAAACAAATTTAAATTTTTTTATTTTTGTCTAAAATTAATTTGACAAGAAATGTATTTCTATTGCAAAATAAACAAATCTTTACATTTTTATTTTAAAATATAGTCAAACTTCCATAAATTGAAATTCTATAACTCCAATTTTCTATAATTCGCACTAAAAAGAGTGGAATAGGGTTTTAGAGAGCAAATTACTTACTTACAAAGTCATATAAGTATATTCTCACGTGTCAATAGGAATGGGAAAGTGCATTCTATAAGTCGAATTTTTGTTTTAAGTATGAATCCAGGAAAAGTTTCTTTTTCCCCATCAAATATTTAATTTTTTTTTCTTATGTTGCTTCTTTGTGCAAATGCCAAAAGCTGGCAGCGTTGGTTAAAGTAAATAAAATAAATTCCAATGCTCTTCTTAACGACTATATTGACCTTGACAATGATATTTGTACATCAAGGTTTCGTACAGATGGCGATATTATTAAGCATTATAGCTCTGAATTACTGGATCCGATTCTAAGCACAGCGGAAAGTGATGAGAGTTCGGTGGAAGAAATTGTTCATTAGCCTTCCAAGAATGAAGTAGAAGACTTAATAAAAATTTAAAATTTTTTTTTACAAACGAATGATACTCCACTATAGAAACGAATGTTGATCACTATAAGGTTTGAAATAAAATGGATTCTTTTTTTACTTAAAATAAGAAAAAAAAATTAAAATCCCAAACCCTAATTTCTGAATGTTTCACTTCACTATTTCTCTATAACTTTTGTGATGTATTTGATTTCAAATAAATAAATATCTTAAAATTTAATTCTAGTTTTTTTCAAAAATAAAAAAAAAAATAAAAAAACTCTCTAACTCGAGAACCTTTTCTTTGCAAAATGATACTTTGAGTTATGGATGTTTGACTGTACTTAAAATTAATGAAAAAAATGTTCAAATCTTTTCATTTAATTAATTCTGCTTTATTTGTTAATATTTGTGGCCCTATTCTTCTCCTAGGAGTTAAAGGATTAAGTTAAAGGATTATTTGTTAATTCTAAATATTAACATCCCATGATTGAAATATTTTGATTTTTATTTTAAAATACTTGAAATTAATATTAAACATTAACATTCAATAATTGAAATCTTTAACTCGAATACCTTTTCTTTGCAAAATGATACTTCGAGTTATGGAAGTTTGACTGTACTTAAAATTATTGAAATGTTCAAATGCTTTTATTTATTGTGATTTATTTGTTTATATTAAATGTCAACATCCAATGATTAAAATCTATTGATTTTTTTTTTAAATACTTGAAATTAACGAAAAAGATGTTCAAATCTTTTAATAAAATTATAATATATTATATTATATTTGCTTCTCCTAGGAGTTAAAGGATTCAATATATATTTGTTAATATTAAATATTAACATTCAATAATTGAAATCTTTTAACTTTTATTTTAAAGTTATTGAAAAAAATTTTCAAATACTTTTATTTATTGTGATTTATTTGTTTATATTAAACATTAACATCCAATAATTTAAATTTTTTATTTTTATTTATTTATTTATTTTATTTATTTTTATTTTAAATTTAATAAAAAGCATTTTATAATGCTTTTATTTATTGTCATTTATTTGTTTACATTAAATGTTAATATCCCACGATTGAAATCTACTACATACTTTTGAACACATTTTTATTAATTCGATAAGTTTATCGATTTATCCACTTTTTATCAAAACAAACTTGAAGACTGCAGACCTGCAGGCCTGCAATCTGTTTAGTAAAAAACAAAACAGTTCACGTCAGGCAATTGTTAATGTAAGTTGTGTGGTTGGTTTTGTAAGTCGTGTAGGGCTTATTTAAACATCAATAAAACGGAAATATTTATGAAAAACTTTACCGATTGTGATCTATAAATTTTATTGGTTAAAATAAAATATTTGATCTATACTATGAAAATATACCGGAATAATAATGTGACAGTTGCGTAATAGTTAATAAAATACATATATAAATATGATATTTTACCTGTTTTATTAATAAAATTTATAATATATATGCAAATTAAATTAATGCGTTAGTTATAAAGTTTGAACAATTCTCTCATTGGTTGTAGTATTCTCCCTTTCATTAAATACGTAAAGTAAAGGTCGGTCGGTCGGTCGATATCAAACGGAAAGTGTCGAATATTCGGAAATGAATGACAAACAAAAGCGAAAATCGCAGTATTTTTATTGAAAGCAAAATTTTGGCAATGCATTTACTATAATGTCCAATAGTTTTAATAAAATTAAAAGTATATAAATAAATTGAGTAACAGCAAATTTTGGAATATATGATATACAAAGTGAAAGAGAAAAAAATCGATCTGTAAATTCTTCATACATAGATACATTTGAAAAATTTTCAATTTAAATCCGAATAAAATTATTACGAGAATGTCATCAGACCCATAAAGTTATTTGATTCATACGAACTTGTAAATGTACAGACATATTAATTCTGGTTAAAATAATAAAATAACTTATTTGTATTCAGTTAATAAATAAATATATGTGTATGTATTTATATACATACAAATAAATTTGGGTTTAATTTTTCATATTGTGCTAAATGAATGCAAACGTATATGATAAAATTAACAGCTTCTCAAGCAAGTTTTTTCATATCAGTTTGTCATGTTAACATTAGGCTGACTTATACAAATAAATTGTAATTAAAATATTTCTTTTGTTTTTGACGAAAAATAAACCATTGGAAGAAATTGTAAACCCTTTCTCAAAATATACTTATTACCTGCAATTTAATTTATTAGCATTATACACATATTAGCATTATACTCTTCTTTCAGTAAATCTTTTATTTTATACAAACGAAAATAACTATGTATATAGGTATATAGAGATTAGGCTTTTGTTGCTATTGCTCCTTGTAAAATTGTATAATAATATTTACCACACTTTTTTTTAATTAATAAATAAATAAAATTCTGCAGATATAAACGATGACTTACGTCAACAATTATGTGTATTTAAGCTAAATATTAAATTAATATGTTCTATTATTATGTCTTTGTTAATAATGATATCTTTATAATAATGATATCTTTATATGTATATAGGTTTTATGCAATATTGCAATATATGTGTATAATAGTTAGATACAGGTAACCGCCGGTTTACGCCGCATTTCTGTTCCAATAAAAACCGGCACAAATTGAATCATCGTTCAATGATCCCATATATACAATGCCGAATATTTACATTAATTATAATAAAACAAACAATTTTATTAACACAATAAAAAGTAAATATATTACAAATTTAAAATGCATTTTAATATGAAATATCGTGTACATATTGTATATATGTTCAAAAAACTAAGCTTAAAAAATTTTAGATCTTACATTTTTTTAGATGCGAATCGTGAAGTAACATAGCATTACTTCCTCAGTATTACGTTCCTAGTTTAGGTTGTATATATAAGATGAAATATATAACTCATGCAACAAATATTGCCTCTACAAACAGAATAGTATTGAAATTTAACAATATTAAAAATAAAAATATAATTAATAAATTTAATTATTCTACAGCTGGTTTATGATTTCGCTCTAATATAAATACAGCAATTGAATTTGTTAATAAAACTTTCACAGCCAATTAACAAAACTCTAGAAAATGTGCGAACATAAAAGTCAAGTACGGCTTTGGGACAGTTGATTAAGGTGCACTGACTTTGAGCTTCAAATTTAGCAGGATACGAGTTCCATCCCCGGTACTTACAGTCTCATAAAATTATTTATGAATAATCAAATATAAGAATTATTTCCAACACATCTGATGAAGGGTATTTTGCAATACTTGAAACAGCTCTATGGTCAGCCAAAAATTCAATTAATTAAAATAATATAAAATGAATTTTTGTGGTTGTAGTTCACTACTGTTCGAAAATCCTCTTTATGAAAATATCCAGTTTTAAATTAAACAATTAAAGCTGGATTTTATTTTCTGTCATTAACAATTTTGAAACATAGTCTAGTCTAATGGAACTGATGATGCGCATCTATTGACACTTTATTCTCAATCGTTATATAACTCACATAGTTTATCTGTGAAATTTTTTATAGTTTAGATTAATCGTTTCCGTATAACTTAGCTTATTTTTTTGTTTTTTTTTCTTTCTGTGACTAATTCTAATAATATTTCAAAGCATTCATTAAAAAGGCGCTTAACATAGTCTTCTTAATATTCTTTCACGTTTTAGACTGTTAAATCTTCATATTCTATATTACAAGTAAGCCTGGTAATTTCTTTAATGTAATTAGTGTTTAGTGGTGACAGAAATTTATCCTAAGCTACATATAATTATTTCAATGATATTTTAATTTAAAAAGAAAAACACCTTTTGTGTAATAACACGCTTTAATCATAAATATCTTCACAAGTTAAATATGCTTAACAATGTCTTCTCTGCTTAGAATGGTATGGGATTTCTAGAAAACAACTGTCCGATTCTGTAACTAGAAATTCGTTAACGATAGACATTTTGCATTGCATATCAACGACTTAATACATCTATTCCTATTATTTTTTAATTTTATATATTTCAAAATTATAACAGATTCAAAAGAAAATCAAACTCTCTCATTGAGTTGCCCGTAGAGATATTGTCTTGTAGCAGGTTTACTTACAGGTAATCGTATTTTAGGTAACCATACTAGGAGATTAAATCTTCATTTCAACCGTATTTGCCGCAGTATGGAGAGGACAATGAAACTACCTCCTATCTGCTTTGCTTCTGTCCAGCACATGCACTTAGAGGCTTTCTTTTTCGAGAATCTTAGCGAACTGTAAGATCTCGTTTTGAATAGCATTATAAGCTTTGCTAAAGGTTCTACGTGGTTCTAATGCTTGAGTTTCTAATTATACGGTAACACAATGAGCCCATAGGCCTAAGTGAATCCCTTGGGATCGCCGGTAAAATCTAACCTAACCTATAACAGATTTAGATTAATTATGAAAATACTTAGCATTGAGCAACTAACTGATATTAGCATATTAACACTATTGTACAATTATGCTTAAAGACTTAATTGAATTCATCTTTCTTAGTATATAGCAATATTAATTTTTTTTTATTTATCACAGTTGTTATTATACTTAAAACTAATATTAGTCTTGGCATTACGTATGCCCATTTAAAATAGTTTTCAGCTGAAATACGCGTTATATTAAAAATGACAAAATATCAGTTTCAGTTCTATAAAGTCTATAGCGTTTGGTCATTAACTAATTTGCTCCTCTATTAAGTTTTTATGTTCTTATTTGTTTATTATCTTTAATACTCATTATTCTACTCTTTTACCATTAGGATTTTATTTATAACAGACATCATATTTGAGTTATCTTCTGAATTTTATTGGCATTTATTATCAAATATATTTCTTTGATATAAATCCCTTGCCTTTTATATTACTTATCGGAAGGAAACTGTTTTATTTTCTAATCAATCTTTAATATTGTTATTGCATTACTTTTGTTATCAATATTAATTGAATAATAATAATACGTTGAAGCGCTTGCCATGTGCCATTGATTAAATATATACGCATACACTTGTACATATATGTATGTCTATACATTCTGCAAGTGCTTAGCTTGGGGGCCTGCCTTTTTATCAATAAGTAAAAGTAGAAACGTATAAAAATTGTTAAACCCAGTAGAGGAACTGATTTTTATATGACTTATTTATATTGAATATTTATTATTATATATTATCTCCATTGAAGTTTGAATCCAGCACTGTTGAGCAATTTAATTTTTGATATGAAAATATAAAAATGAAAGCTAATTCTTGTTTTAGCCATGACCCCAAAAGTGAAGGTTAAGAGCATTTTTCTATTTTCTACTTATGTATGCCTCTATGCACAAGTAATTTGTGTATATATACTATATATTTTTTTTATATAAGGGTATATAAGTAACGCGTGATTTAGTTTTCATTAAATTTAATTTTGATTCATAAACATAAGTGCATCATTTAAAATTTTTAAATTTCAGACAATTGATGTTCTAACAACTGATTTAGTGCAAACGTCTTGATTTTTCTAGCACAAAAGTCACTAAATATACAAAACGAATATGTTTCAATTAAGACATGTGACGTATACCGCAACAAAGGGCAAAGGCACTGCATATTTGAAAAAGTATATATATTTTATTTAAAATGTTTTTAATATATATAAAATATTAATTATTTATAGGCTAGCTCTTGAATCGAACTCAAGTTATTTGCAGAAATATCAAAATATATGTTCAGTTGTTCCAAATACAAATCTTAAAGATTTTGAAATTAAAAATGAACCAATACTTGAGTACAAAAAGGGGTCCGCTGAGCGTTCACAGTTGGAAAAGGCTTTAAAAACTGCAACTGCAGCTTGTGAAGAAATACCTATAGTTGTTGGTGGCAAGGAAATAAGAACTGATAATGTTGTTTATCAGGTAATGCCACATAACCATTCACACAAATTGTCTAAATTTTACTATGCGGATAGTAAAATAATACAAAATGCTATAAAAGTTGCGGTAGAAACACAAAAAAAATGGGATCGGACACCCCTTAACGAACGTTTAACCATTTGGGAACGTGCAGCAGATTTAATGGCGGGTAAATATAGACAAGATTTAAATGCAGCTACAATGCTTGGTCAATCGAAAACTGTGATTCAGGCTGAAATCGATTCTTCAGCAGAACTTATTGATTTCATAAGGTGAATATTATAACAAAATTAAACTTTAGTAATTTGACAAAAATTTTGATTAAATAGAATGAATGCTTACTTCCTCAAAGAATGTGCAAAGTATCAACCAATCAGCGAAAATATTAAAGTTACTAAGAATTCGATGCGATATCGTGGTATTGATGGATTTGTAGCTGCTGTAAGTCCTTTTAATTTTACAGCAATTGGTGGAAATTTGGCCTATACCCCAGCTTTGATGGTAAGTTGTATTTGTTTTTGTTAACATAAAATAAATTAAAATATTTCTATTCCGTAATTGTTCATCTAATCATTTTTTCATATTATAACTTTCAAAATTGATCCAACATTTTGAAGGTTCAAACACTTTGATATTTAGGAACGATTGTGCTCCAGCACATCGCCCACTCAAACATGTTCGAACAACATTTGCTTAAATATTAATTAAGTTGAAGTAATTTAAATTAGCTACGTGTTAATTTACATTAAATATTCCAGCCTTTTCTTTTATGGGTATTTGTAAAAAAAATAAATAAAATGTATTAATAACCATATTTGCTGTTCGAACCTTTGAAAAGTTCGATTCAAATTTTTGCACTCGAGTATACTCGAACTGCTTGGGCAATAAAAATTTTCAATAAATTATTTATATACGAGTATAAAATGTATAATAGAATTTGAATAAAAAAATCTCTTTCTAACAGGGTAATGCTGTTCTATGGAAACCTTCCGATACAGCCATGCTTTCCAATTGGCGCATTTTCAATATTATGCGTGAAGCCGGTGTACCCGATGGCGTAGTTAATTTTGTACCAGCCGATGGACCAGTTTTTGGCGATACTATAACTAAATCCCCATATTTAGCTGGCATTAACTTTACTGGATCTGTTCCGTAAATTAAAATTGTTTTATAACTTAAAATATTTTCTTAAATTAATGTCTACAGCACATTTAACCGGTTGTGGAAACAAGTTGGTAACAATATAGACAGTTATATTAATTTTCCACGACTTATTGGTGAATGCGGTGGCAAAAATTTTCATTTTGTGCACCCAACAGCCGATGTTGATACAGTTGTAAGTGCAACAATTCGTTCAGCATTTGAATACTGCGGACAAAAATGTTCGGCCTGTTCGCGCATGTATGTACCAGAATCATTGTGGTCTAAGGTAATGCTCCCTATTTGAGCTTGATTGAATTGTAATGAAAATTTTAATTTATTTCAGATTAAGAGTGGTTTGATTGCAGAGGCTGAAAAACTAAAACTTGGTGATGTTCAGGATACTACATCGTTTACATCTGCAGTTATTGATGATAAAGCATTTAACCGCATTACGTCTTATATTGAACATGCTAAAAACACACCATCTTTAAATATACTTACTGGTGGAACTTATTCAAAAAAAATTGGCTATTTTGTGACTCCTACAATTGTACAAACCCAAGATCCTTTAGATAGAATTATGACTGAAGAAATTTTTGGTCCCGTTTTGACCGTATATGTTTACAAAGATGGTGATTTAAATCAGGCTATGAATTTAGTTAATACATCTACTAAATTTGCTTTAACTGGTGCAGTGTTTGCACGTGACGAGTAAGTTATAAATTAATATATGTTTTCATTAAACATACATATATCATTAATTTTTTTTTGTTTTTGGTAGGAATTTCCTAGATCAAGCTTTGGAGGAGTTTAAAATGACTGCAGGCAATTTCTATATTAATGATAAATCTACTGGATCTGTTGTCGGTCAACAACCATTCGGTGGTGGACGCATGTCAGGTTCGTTGTTGTCAATAATAAAATACAATAAAAAATATGTATTATTTGACTTTTCAACTTTTATAGGCACAAACGACAAGGCTGGTGGCCCTCATTACATATTAAGATGGACCTCCCCACAAGCTATTAAAGAAACATTTGTACCATTACGTGATATCACGTATCCATACATGAATGCCTAAATACATTGACGCAAATTCAGAAAAATACTAAATTATCAGTTAAAACCAAATAAGAAAAAAATAAGTATAATTTTCATTTATTTTTGTTTACACTATTTGTTATTATTGTTTAATATTTTTGGAGATTTAAAATGAAATCAATCATTAAGAATGAGAAGAGTGAGTAGAGTGAATATGTATACATTTTTTTAAATATTTTTAGTACGATTTTAGGAAGTGAAAATAATTTTTCGCAGCAATTTAAAAAAAATTAAAAAAATCTCTGTATATTTTGCGATATGTGTAATTAGTAAATTATTAAATTTACAATTCTGTATTAATAAAGTATTTTGTTACATGTAGAATTTATTTTATTGTACCCTTTTTCCATAAAAATAAAATTTGAAATGTAATTTGATATGCTGATGATATTAATAGAATATACTAGGAATTTATATGAAATTCTCGAAACAAATTTATTTACCATTGTTTACTAAAAATACATTGACAATACATTATTAATAATTATTATGGATGTGTTTATAACCAAAAACTTCAATAAAATGTTAAACACTGTGCTTGAGAACGTATAAATATAAACGTACATGCATTTACTACAAAACTGAGTTTTTATTACATCAAATGCTTTATATATTTGTTATATATTTCATAATGGTTGTTAGTAGAATTAGTTATTTTAAGCGATTTTTTTCCTGGAGACTACATTCCTCTATGGGATGTAACTAACAAAAACAAAAACTGCACGCACCATTAATTACCAATTATTATATTTAATTAATACTCGACCTTAACGACGAGTAAACACTTTACTGATGGTAGTTTTCATGCAAATAATATTAAATATAATATACGAAGGCGGTTTGATAAGTCAGTGGCTTTTTGAATTGTGAATTGGCGTGAGTTGGCTTATGTTGTAGGTATCTCAACTGAATGGGTACATCATATTTTTCACGAATATTTGGACATGAAAAAACTCTCCGCGAGATGGGTGCCGCGATTGCTCACACTCGACCATAAGCGCAATCGTAAGACCACTTCAAAAGAGTGTTTAGCGATGTTTAGCCGTTATCCGAACGAATTTTTGAGCCGTTTTGTTACTGTGGGCGAAACATAGATCCATCACAACACGCCAGAGATCAATGAACAATCGAAACAGTGGGTTACTAGAGGTGAACGTGAACCAAAGAAGCAGGCCAAACAGAGTCTGTCAGCCAACAAGATCATGGCCACAGTTTTTTGGGATGCAAGCGGTGTCATTCACATCGATTACTTCAAGAAAGGTAAAACGATCACTAGCAAATATTATTCAAAGCTCGTTGAACAAGATCGACGTTGATTCCTAAAGTATAAACTCGATATAGAAACGAAAAAGTAGTTCATAATGCACTAACATTTGCAGTGAATGTGACAAGCTACAATAGAGTAATAAAACAACTTGTTTTGGATTACCACGCTACGTTTCAGATCGAATATGCGCAAACTTGATAATTGTCTTGCTATCAACTTTATCACAACGTTGTAATCACACACATTCAATCATTTATCATATGAAACTCCTATTACCTCATCAACCTTGCAAATTTTTAATGTCTTATCTTACAATACAGTATCGAAGATGTTATTTGTTTCCGGCTTAGTGATTTTTATTAAGCGTTTGAAACGCATGTAATACATGTTTGTAGGATCACAACAAAACGGAATAAATATTATTGTTACCATTAAATCGGATGTCTATACTGACAGCCAATAACCAATAATTATGGGATGTTAAGAGAACATGCTGTGAATAAACAATTAAAACGGGATGTACGATTTTAGAAGTGTCTGTTTAGTATAGCTTTCACTGAAATAATTAAGACTACCTTGGAAGTCCTATATACAGAACTTCCAAATTTTCGATTAAATTCAGTATGCTGTTTTCAATCTTTGTTCTGTTAAAAGTAGCTACAGAAAAATGAAAAGTGTAAAAAAAAAATTATTATAAAAAAAAAACTGAGTATTGTCTAAGTATTTGTTTTCGGTGCAATATATTCCTGGCAAACTTCAATCAAAGTACCCCGACCTTTATAGAGTACTCAGAGTATGCACCTATATAAAGGTGAATAAATTGTTAGCTTAATTAAATAATTCTTCCGAATTATACAAATCCAAAAATAAAACTCGGCCAATAGACAAAAATCGTTTGACGAAAACAATACTATAAGAAAAATTAATACCTACTTAATTAGCAAAGATTAAAGTTTTGCATTTACTATTGCAGGCGAAAAAACTAAAAGTCGATTCTCTTGAAAGAGATTAGATGCTAGACTAGTAGTATGGTATTAAAAAAACATCCGAACCTTCAATACAGACTCAAATATCAAATAATAATAATCACTTACGGAATATAATTTGGACCCATGAAAAAAAATTAAAAATATATATATATATATATATCACGAAATCAATTACATCATGGAATATTTTCATCTTTAGAGATTTCAGATACAAACGTGGTCTTAATACGTGGTCGTTGATACTTCACTTCACTTATGACGGATAGGTGCTGATACTGCATCTCACTTATGACGGATACGTGCTGTTACTACACCTCATTTATGACGGATAGGTACTGATACTGCAGTTCTTTGAAACATTCCACGATGTGTTTATATTAAGAAAAGGAATCGGTAAATGAAAGATAAAGAAAGGACATTATCAATCATGGCAACTGTAGGATGCCCGCAAAAGCAAGAATATATATACATATATTGTAATCTTTATAAACACGCCTATTCTCAACTCAATGTGTACTATAATCACATATCTTTCCCGCTGATGTTGCTCATTTATTATCGTGTTCCAACACACGCAAATTGGAAACATAAATTTATGGCTAATCGAAATGGCAGTGCTCTTTCACTTAAACTAAGGCTAATACCAATTAGCGCCCTATTTATATATTTTATATCCCTTTTCTTCTACTAACCTGCATATAAATCTTTAAACAAAACTGAAGTTTGAAGCGAGATATTTTTGCTTTAAAAGCAAAAATTGTGAAAAGCTGGACATTTTTTTTATTTTGAGTAGGCTCGACTATATATGATAATGTAAATAATAAATAAAAATAGAAAAATGTTTACATCATTTTATAAATAATACATGATATTCCTATACTTCTTTCTTTCAAACGATTAATGTGCCGGCAATAATTTTGATGTTAGTTCGCAAGTAGAAATTGAAAATGATTTGTTTGAACATTGCCACAGTAGGTATGCGTTAATTTAATTTCCGTTTACAATGCTATATCAATTGAGCCCTCACGTGATGATTTTAATATTTTTATTTAAATCTAGTATTGAGCAATCCAGTTACCATTTATATATGTGAGTGTTGATTTTATATATCATACGCCTTTTAATTAAAATAAAAGCCTCAGACTACATTTATTTAGTGATGACATTTGTTATTGTATCATTGACACAATATTTTTTAATACCTTATATCAAATTTTGTTGATATCAATTTATTTAATAAACAAAAATATATAATATAAAATCTTATCCCAATTGTTTCTAAGTGCGCATTTGTTTGTGTTGCGAGTGTACACATAAACAAATTAAAATACAAATCGTTTCAATTATACAGGGTTGTATTTGATATGTATTTTATTAGAGTTAATTGCAAAAAAGTATTAATTATATACCCATGTGTTCATACAAACAACTATTGTTTCTTTAAATGCTACATCAACATAACAATATACTGAACCTGTTTTGTGTAGATATATATGAGATATTTTTATAGGCATTTCATTTCATTTCAACAATATAATAGGGATATTCATTCTGTCTTGCAAAGTCAATTCAAGGTGTACGAAATGCAAGAATGCTATATTAAAATTGCAAGAGTGAGAGAACACCTTTGTTGAAGAATTGCGACATCAAAATCAAACAGCTGTTTTCGCAGCATACCACATACATATGATAAGCAAGAAATGTCAAAACATCTGTTTTTTTCCTGTTTCGTTGCAAGCATATGTACAAGCGTATGGGTATAGGAAGCAATTGCAAGAAACTTTATGTGTATATTTTGTTTTTGTCAATTCCAGGCTCGTACAATCTCATTGGACGTTGCAATGAATTTGCAAGACAGAGTAAATACTTCTTAAATAAAATATTTGCAAAATTTGGTATTGCAAATTACCCAGATAGTTACTAATATCTCATGTGGGAGTACTGAAAATATGTGAATAGCCGAGACTATTCGGATGTTTACAATTCTGTGTAATGTGACTTGATGGATAGTTTTAAATTTGTGTAACAATTAGCATATCATAATATGCTAACAATAAAATTAATATAATAAAAATTCTTTTTTAAAACTAATTTTATATTACTTTTATTTTAATTTTTATTAATTTCATTTAATTGATTTTAATTCGTAAGTCTAAATTTTCTGTGGCATACTTTGCTGGTTTTTAATTGCAATTTTAATTTAATTTTAATTTTTTAATAAATATAAAATTATTCAACATATTATTTGAACTGTGAAATTATCGCTAATGAATATCTGGAAATTATTAAGGGTGTATACTGTAGTGTTCATCGCTTTTGGACGCATAACAATTTTTTATTATTTGGTGATATATTTTCAAGATTTACTGTAAAAGTAATAGAAACGTTTAGTAGCAATCATCTAGTACAAAAGAATAAAGATGGCCGCGTTGCTGCGCTTCAATGAAAGCCCTGAATCATATTTAGCTGATTTGTAGTAATCATAAATTATATAAAATTATAATATTATATCAAAGCAATAAATATGAAGTCAAAGCAAATTGTAAATAATGTAATTGTGAAAATATTCGCAGTTTATTAATTGAATTTGTTAAAATTTTAATAAATTGTTTATCAAAAACAATTTGTTCTGCTATAGATACATACATACATACATATAACCATGTTATTTTGATTATGATATAAAATATACATATGCATGTTATAATTTTTTTCTATAAAGTTATCAAGTCTTTTAAAACATCAACCAACCATTAATTAAAAATTATATTTCACCAAAAAACTTTCATGCTAAAAGTAATGATTTGCAAAAAAATCTAACCATATGAGAATTAAAAATATCAAATATTTGGAGAGTCCATATTGCTTTCATATCGATAAGATACTGACTTTTTTATGCATATAGATTATTTGATGCAAGTCACATTCACATATTTTCGGCGAATAGTTAGAATATCAAAGTATTTAAATAATATATAAAGCTTTAATACATATTACTTTAAAAAAAATATTTTCTGTGGTGCTGAAAGAATTTACACTTTAAGGGCGATATAGTTTATCAACTGCTATTATTTTTTTAACTCAGAAACATTTTAAACATTTCATATAAGAATTATATACTATAGACTTTTCTAAATAATTTTATTTTTGACTGCTCACATTCTGTGGAAAGAATTGTCAAATAAAGAATATAGATATTCTAAGTATTCTGTATAAACAATTTCAAAAGTGATAGATATTAATTTAAAAAAAATTGTATCGTCTTGGCTATGATTAATATGTCAAATAGTAGTAAATGTTTAAATATGTTTTTCAATACATCTTGCAACCTTGTATACAAGCCAATTCCTCGAGGTTAGAATTTTGACAATGGCTGCGGACGGACGTCGTGTTTCTCCTGCCCTTGCAAGTAAATATTAAATAAAGTTAAAAATTATATATAAAAATTAAATTTTTTATATATTAATGCAATTCTTAATAAAGTAGTGTATACTATTTGCTTTTAAAATATCAATTTTTATAAGTTTACTAATGAGACATTGTTACTAATGAGTTTTTCTATTACTCATTCTATATAAACGTAGATAATGTAATTCGATTTTTTGCATTTTTTTGTTGACTTAAAAACTTTTTTCAGTTCGCTCTAGCGTGGGGATAGAACTTTGGGCTTCGTCGGGTGCAAAACTCCCGTACGAGTACAAGTCAAACCTTCCACGAGAGGAGACGAAAAATTCTCGATCGATATCATTTAGTCCGGATGGTCGTTATTTCGCATTGTCTAACGGGCATGAAATTAAAGTTCTCAAGAGCAATGATTGGCAAATACAATGTTCATTGCCGCGTCCTAAAGCTTTTTATCTCAAATTTTCTCCTCGTGGCAATTATTTATGCACTTGGGAATTATATGCCGTTACAAAGGATAAACCAGATGGTTCACCAAATATGTTTGTATATGAGTTAACGACTGGCGAAGAAGTGTTGTCAATTGTTCAAAAGAAACAAACAGACTGGGAACCATCATGGTCGACGGACGAGTCCATTTTTGCCATTGTTGTAGGCGGAGAGGCACTTTTTTATGACTTAAGCAAGGGTATTGCCGGCTTCAAGGAAACAATGCGAAAAATTGGCGGCAGTCGAGGTGGAATGTTATCCTTGGGACCTGGTGTAAGTCCGTTCTTAGCATTTTATACGCCAGGGGGTAAGGATTCACCATCGATGTGTAAACTATATAAGTATCCTGCACTTTCGCAAAATCAAACCATAGCATGTAAAAGCTTTTTCCAAGCTGATCGCATAGAAATGTTATGGAATAAGAGAGGCACAGGCTTGCTTTTGTTGACAAGTACTGAAGTAGACAAGAGCGGTGCCTCTTATTATGGTAACCAAGCGTTGCATTTTATGGCCACAAAAGGTGATACGTGTTCGGTGCCATTATGTACGTATATAACTGAAAAAAAATGTAATAAATTTAAATTATTTCTTTATTTCACAATAGCTAAGGAAGGACCCGTACACTGTGTTAAATGGAGTCCAAAGGCTAATGAATTCGTTGTTGTGTATGGTTTCATGCCATCCAAAGCTGCTTTATATAATCTAAAATGCGACGTTGTTTTCGATTTTGGTGAAGGCCCTCGCAATTGTGCATATTTTAATGCCTTTGGAAATTATATCCTTTACAAACAAAGCTTTTTTTCTCCTAATTATATATTTTGATAAAATTTAATTTAATTAATTTAGAAATAACCTTAATATATCCAACTACCATTGGTGCGATAAAGAATATATAATATATATTTATTTATATACATATTTATAGAATTATAACTTCGAAAGTTATTCCTTAACTACTTTGCACTAGTTGTTTTAGCTGGTTTTGGAAACTTGCCTGGTAATGTTGAAATATGGGACGTTCAAAAGCGTGAAAAATTGGTGAATATTAAGTGTCCTGACACTACCCAATTTGAATGGAATCCAAACGGCGAGTATTTTATCACTGCCACTACATCCCCGAGACTACGAATAGGTAACGGGTAAGTTGAAATAATGTTTTCTTTATTAATATCATGAACTTTTTAAATTTTTTTTAAACAGGTTTAAGGTATATCATTACTCTGGTGCATTAATGCACGAAACTATTTGGCCGGTAGGACAGGAGTTATTGGGAGTAGAATGGCAACAGTTTCCTGAAAACACTTTCCCAGAACCTGTTATAACAAAAGTGAAGCAGGAGGGTATAAAATCGAGTCAACCTGAAGCAAGCAAAAAAGCGTATACGCCACCACATCTTCGCCTAATGAAGGAGGGTAAAAATCCAGAAAATTATATTCCACAACCGAAAGTCACAATTCCAGGAATGACAACAGGTAATCAACGCAAATATTGGCAAAAACAATATGATACAAACAATCCTATTATGAGGGCAAGCCAAAGAGCTGATATACAAAAAAATCAAAAACATCACAAAACCACTAATAATGATGGTTACCTTTATCGTTCAAATAATCGTTACCGACCTTATAAAAACAGACGTTGAACTAAAATAAAAAAAATTTGCTTAAGCTTTTAATTAGATATCTCATTTTTTAAATTAGACAACACTAAGATACTTTCATATTATATACATATTATATTATATATAAATTAAAATAAAGTATTAAAAAATATATTTTTCTTGTATTTTATTGAAGGAAATGGAGCAGCAAACAAGCGGAATTCTTCAAAATCAAACAAGAATAAGTCGCGAAATAAAAAGGAAGCTGCAGTTATTCTTGAAGGTCCTGTTTGTGAAGTTGTAGATAATGCAAATCTTGACACAACTAAATCTGATGAATCTGTAAAACGTCAGCGGTCTTCAAATACGAATCGAAGACAACAAGCAAAAAATAAAGCTGCAAATCAGCAAGTTGTTGCTACAGTAAAAGAAAATGGCAGTGAAACTGAAATTCAACAACAACAGCAACACCAGCAATTGCAACAGCAACAGCAACCAAGAAAGGTGGTTAATGCTGAAAAGGATAAGAAAATACGAGTTGTTGCTAAAAAGTTATCTGACATTAAGAAACTTAAAGCTCGTCAAGAGCAAGGTGAAACCCTCGAAATAAATCAACTGAACAAAATATCTATGGAAGGTAAATTGCTTGAGGAATTGAAGTCTTTGAAGTTATCTGCTTAGATTTACTTACAAGGACCTGTGGGAGCAATTCTGTCATTTGGCATGATTAACGCTCAATTAAATTTGTAGTGTTTATGTGGTTTGGCGTCCAGCGTTTTCCATTGTTTTAAAAATTCAAAATTATCATTGGTAAATTTTCGTTTGAGTTTTGATATATATTTTGTATGTTAAATTAATTTTTTTTTACTTATAAATTTGTAACAAAATTAAACTATTGTGATTTGTGAACCATCAGGAATAAGCCACTAAAGAATTAATAAAAGTAAATTATTTAATTATAACAATGAACGTTTTATTAAAACAATATACATATTATTTTTCCCAATTAGAGACTTTCTTTGTGAATGTTTCCTTACCATCATCTTGAACCGCAGCGTAATAGCCGAGATCTTCATATTTAGATCGCATATATGTAATATAACCAAGAACACCAGCAAAACAGGCAATACCCACACCCATAATTATTTTATTCTAAAAAAATATTGAATGCGTGACGTTGCATTATAGATAGATTCTGTTCCAAACAAATACTTACAGGTTTAGCGTATAATTCAAAATTTAATAGGCGAAAAACACTTGTGGTACGAACAGCTCTAATTCCTTTTACAAAGATATAAACAAACTACTTTTACAAAATACATTCGAAAATTTATACAAAAATAAAAAGAACTATGTTATACCATCTCCGGGTGTTGACATATTAGTCTTAACATTATCTGGTTTTTCCATTATTCAATAAATAAGTGCGCTTCGGTTATATATTAATTTCTATAAACTTGATATAACTATTTGCTTCGCAATCACCCTGCGACCACAAAATGGGTTGTGTGGTGTGACATAATTATGTTTACCGAAATGTATTAAGTGTGCATATCAAAGAATATCTTTACAAGAACGGAAACTCCGCCCACTTCGTGAGAGTGCATTTGAAATTGTTTTTGAAAACTTATTTTTTATAAAATTTCGGCACACGTATTAAATACATGTGATCTTACCACGATAACATCAAATTGCTCTCTTTTTGGGGTTGCAGTATAATAATTTGCTGCTACTTGTTAATCATATGTTAACTTTTTAGTAATATAAAAAACTTATGCTTCCTTATTTGGTTAATAATATTACATTACGTAAACAAAATATATATTGTAACAAGTAATATATGATAAATAAATTTATAAATTAATATATAATAATTTGAATCAATTAATTTAAATCAGTTTAGTTTGTTTAATAATGTAATATATATTCAGTAAATTAATTTTTGTTGCTATTTTCATATGAATTTTATAGTATTTTAATTTATTACGTTCGGCAACAAACTTTTGTAGAAGCAAATTTTTTAATTAAATAAAAACAAACAGTTTTGAATATTTCTTATTTAGTGAGTTATATTTTCTTATATATTTTTTGAGCGTGTAAAACATTATTTCAAAAACAATTTTGATATAATAGCATTAAATACCGTTTTGATGTGAAATTAATAACAAAGATTGAAGCTACTACTAATTCACTTTTTTATACGGCAGCACTTAAGTGATCCATGATAAATTGTGTTTCTCTGCGAAGACTTAATTTTTAAATTTAGTGCCAAAAAATATGTTGATGAGGAAGGGTGTACGCGCATTCCCTTTAAATGTGTGGTACGTATTATTGCCTTGCATGCATTTCTAATTGATTAGTAACAATAAATCTGTTGATAAGGGAGGATGTGCGCGCATCCGCTCTAAATGTATGTGGTGAATAATACTTATTATTAATTTACGTACATTAGTGTGTGATCAGTAGCGAAAAATCTATTGATAAGAGTGGGTGCATGCGCATTCATTGTCGGATTTATGAGTTTTTCTTATGAAGATATATTTTTATATAAAATTCAACAATTTTTAAATTTTAATATTGAAAAATTTTAATTTTATATTATGATTATAAAATATATTTATATATAAATACTAAAGTATTTAAAAATATTAGCTAAGTTTAATTAAAAGAAGTACAAGTTGTTTACATAATTTATTATTGTTATGAAATGAAATAGACTTGATTATTTACCAGAATTAATGCAAGATTTAAACGAGATATATGCTATACATTTTTAGTTCATCTGTTTAATGAATATTATAAATATTTACATAAAATAAAAATTAAAAACATATTTATTTTTTTTGTGTTGTTTATGTATAGAATATATGAATATTTTCTTCAGAATTTAAATGATCTTAAAAATATAAATTTATTAGGGTTCATGATATGATCATTAACATGTAGCGCCTTATGTTTATGTTTTAAATATTTTAATCTCAATGTGAACATAAAATGCACACTTACTAATATTTTAAAATAAATAGTAAAATACTTTCGTTAAACTGTTTTATTAGAAATATGCATAGAAATTAAATGAAAATTAATTTTCTTTCATCATTATTGTGTGAAAATTTAAAAAAAGAACTATAACAAATTTTTTACATCCCTTGTATTTTCCTATTTCTACATTTAGTTTATTTAGCTATGTAGTTTATTCGACCAAAGTTCAAGATTTGGTATGCATTTTCCACACCACCCAATAGGTATGCATAAAGGTGCGTTACCGAGTTTATATGTCGGTTCCCCAAGAGGCATATCCACCATTATATATTGGTTATAATTTTTTACAGATTTTTACAAATACAAAATTAACAGAATAATAATTACAATACTTTTAAAAATTAATTGCAAATTTAAATATACATAAACTAAAAGCAAAAAATTATTAAAGTAAAAACTTAATTTATATGTAAAAGTCAACTGAATATCATGTGGAAAACTAAGCTTATGAATGCGTTACACGCAAGAGCTTTTGCTTATAGTCAGGTGTATTCAGAACCCTATTAAAAAATTTTAACAGGAAATACATGCGTACCCTTATAAAAAGAGTTAAAATATTGTCTGTTTTGCAGTTTTGACAGCAAACATATGGACGTATATTTTTTAATTTTTGGTATAAAAATTGTGCTATACCTACTTTTTGGTAACTGCTATTAAAGTGTTTGCAAAATTTTAACTACTTTTTGTTAAATATTTGCGCAGTAAATTTTGTATGATTTGGCGCAACGAAATTTTATATTACTCTCAAAAAATCAAAACCAAAAAACAAAACCACACTCTTTCTTACACTCTTCATGGTAAACTTTTTGAAATATTCCGTTCTCAAAAGTACTCGAAGCATCGGAAAAAGGTGAAAAGGTGAAAAATTTCAGTGATTTCAGCTGGTGTTAGTGCACTTTTCACTAACACTTTCAAGAGCTCTACGGCAAATTGTTGTTGTGCGAAAAAACAAATTTTAGTTCACAATGGAGTTGCCGTTCTTGTAAGGTATTCTTTGGTGCATATTTTGAAAAATTTAAATTACCTGCAAATATTACCTTTTTTTGTATTTGCCAGCAGAAAAAATTATTATAGCCGTGTGCGAATCCGAGTAAATCGAGGTAAAGTAAATTGAAATTTCCTAGGGATTTTTTGCACTGCACTTATGTAAATATTTATTTATTTATTTATTGCACTTATTTATTATTTTTGATTAAAAGTTTTCAAATTTATTTATTTATTAATTAAACATCTTATATAATTTTCACACCTAATTTACCTAATTTTTATATAATTTACCCTACTCGAAATTCTGGTAAATACCAACATTTGCTGCCATACCGACAGAATTTACTATTTCCCTCAATTTACCATCAATTTACTCGAACTCACACACGGCTTAAAAGTGTTTTTAAGAACAATTTCTTAATAAGGGTAAGCTATAAATGAATCAAGACCATTAAAACTACTTTTAGGATTTAAGCAAAAAATACCAAATTGGTTAATTTGCAATTAATTTGTTATTTGTTTAATCATATTTACACCAAAATGACAAATATAATATTTGATTATATGTTTTCTGTTTACATTATTCTATACATAATGTTGAATAAATCATACGGTTTACTACGGCTCATTACAGCCTTACATTACGGCTTACATTACAACCTTCATGTAAATGAACTCATTATCAATAAATCAGCTTATTTAAGGCGAAAATTATCGAATACAACCCTTAAAAATAAAGTTCTCACAAGGGAAATTTGAAATATGTATCATATACTGAGAAAGTAAATATTTAAAAAAATCTTTGTTGTTGATAATTGATATGTAATATGTAATTGATATATAAAATGTATTTATAGCATTTATATATTTAATTTTTTTATGTGATGTACTATTAAGTGAAGTTTATAAAATTTTATAAAAGTTCGATCAGCTGCTTAAATGAGCTCATTAACATAAATGACAGAAATTGATAATTGGTTTCTGAACTAACTTTTATATTGTTTTGATATGTGAACTTAACTAATAATTTTAATATAGTAATGTACACATAGGATTAATAGTTATTATAAAATTTTATAAAGTACTTTATTACTTTCGTAATAGTACTAACTATTACATAGTTTTAAATTATAAATGTATTACATAGTTTTATTTATAAATGTTCGTATAGTATTATACACATCACAGCTAATTTTATTGTATGATAATTACAAATTTAATTTATTGAAATAGTTTAATATTAAAAACTTACAATTATAAATGCACACCAAATTGTACTAAAACTGCTGTACTAAAACCTACTGCCAATTTTAATACAGAATTTTTGTATAATAAGGCAACTCACTTTAGTACACTTTTGTATATCTACATACCACATTTGAGAACGCATTTGTCGGACATTCGGTATTAGCACGTGTTTTTTTTTGTTAAAACAAACTGATTTGTTAATAGATTAATTTTAATAATGGCGGTTGCAGAGATTGTTGCTGCCGTTGTGCTTAATTATTTACAAAAAAAAGATAAAAATCTTGCGAAAGTTTTTCAGGGGAAAACAAAAGCTGTAAGTATGTTAAAATGTTTGCATGTGGAGTGAAAAAAAACTAACTGGCTCCACTTTATAAATGTATATATTAATCGTATATAAAAGTTGTTAGATACAAAAAATTTATGTATCAATATTAATATAAATTCATCCAATTGTTATTTCATAATTTTAACACACCACGTGGTTACACTTATATTCTAGGGGGTTATTGGAAAAGACTCTCCAACCATAGAAGATATATTTCTGTTTTATCAACAAAATAGTAAAAAGAAAATTCAAGATATTAAAAAATCAAAAAAGAGCTCAAGTGAATCAGATAGCTCAGATGATGAACCTAATATAACTGCTGCTGCATTAACAAATGGTAAACTTGGTAAAAAAGCTGAAAGCAGTGATGATAGTTCTGATGAAGAGGAACCAGCCAAGACAAATGGAAAACCCATCACTGCGAAAACGCTTACAGCTAAGAAAACTGCTTCTAGCTCTGAAGATTCTTCGTCAGAAGATGAGAAACCTGCAGCAAACAAGTCTATACTATCAGCAAATAAAACACCGGCAAATAAAGTACAAGTCAGTAAAGTACCAGTAGTAAAAAAGCAGGAATCATCTGATAGTGACGATAGTAGTGACGATGAGGATGAAAAAAGTAAAGCACCGGTGAAAAACTCAAGTGAAAAACGCACTGCAGCTATTAAGCCAACGGTAACAAAACCAGCTACAGCTAAGAAAGCTGCTTCAAGTTCTTCTGAAGAATCTGACGATGATGACAAACCTAGTAAATCACCTGTCCTGAAAAAAAAGGACAGTTCTGACTCTGAGTCGGATAGCTCGGAAGAGGATGTAAAGAAATTGAAACCTTTGATTCCAAAACCAAATACTACTAGCGAAGAGAGCTCAAGTGAAGAAGAGAAAAAACCTGTAAAGCCTATGGTAAAAAAATCTATTTTAACTCCTTCCGTTAAAAAACCGGACTCAAGTTCTGATG